GTGTTCGGCATTATCGCTCGTACACTTTAGACATGGCGATTCTAGAAGGACCATCATCTGAATTTCACTCGATTTTGAGTTCAAGCTCTTTGGAATGTCTGGAACCTGATCAGATTGCAGGTTAATAGTGGTAAATATTCACAATACATCCACGCCCCGAATATAAAAATTTCGCATGATTAGATCTAGTAGGAAAGGAGCTACGACTGAAAAGTACGGCTGAAGAACCATTTCACCGATGACTTTTGAGCGCTACTGTATATAAAAATTGTTGAAATAGTAAGTGATTCATGAGTATCGAACTATGATCACTCATATGTGCAGAAGTATAGAGAATATGAACTTTCTAGTGAAGCGAGTTCCAGTAAGTAAGGGACCATTCCTCTTCCCGATGGTAAAACAGAAATTGAAGACATCAAACAGCCCATGGACTCGAATCTATCGCGCCGTCCACTTCTTTTTTACCACCCCTACATCTTCCAAACCTTTGTAAACATTAAACTCTTTTCCCATTCCTACCCTTGTCTCGGCTATTGATTGTTCAGACGAGGTCGATTCTTCAAGCCTAGCCCTTGATAGCGTGGAAGAATGGACACTCACATCCGATTTCCTGTGACGAGAACGGATTAGAGGCCTTGAATAATGATCAACATTCCTTTGAATCCCTTCCAATTCCGAAGTGGCAAGTCCAAAAACGTGAAGAACGAAGATGTTCGCCCGGTCAACCATTCTACATACGACAACCTTTTTTTATTACTTGCGACCTTGCAGATGTAGATTGAGAAAGCAGAAGAATTTACTAGTACCTCTCCATTCCCACGCTAAAATGCGGCCTTATTCTCTATGCTTTCCCATCCCACATGCCAACACAAACCACATCACAAGGTTCAATGAGCATGGGAGAAATGAACGTGTAGAAATAACGAAGTGGCATGAAATTTAATGAAAAGCCCGACGATAGGGACAAGAGCAAGAGATGAAATGAACGCTTCAACATGCAGGACGTCTTAAATAGGCCGATCCAACTTTTTGAAAGAACATACTGAATAGCTAAAGAAACAGACAAAAATCAAATAAACAACAAACAAAACATAATAGCTTACGTGTAATTGTGCTGAGACGTCTGGACTGAGTAATGAAATGGCTGTTTGGACGGCACTTTGAATCAGATTCGACAATGCAAACATCCAATGTGGTTTGATATCCAATCGACGTAATACCGGTTGAATCGAATCCGAAAACGTGAAGATGGCCATGTTCACCTATAAGATACTGTAGTTTCTTTACCGTATTCTCAGAAACTTAAATTGGCATAACGAAACGATGTAGTTCTATTTCCTATAGATTAAAATTCCAGTGAGCTTAACACAGCGTAACGGTTCTTACTTAATCAAACTATAAACGGCATTAAACCGAGAATGACACAAATTGTTCATTTTCTTATGATTATACAGCATCTCACATCAGCACCGTTTGAAACCCCTTACGACCCCAAAAAATGATATGGTGATGAAATTAGCAAATTCTGGTTTACTTGAAAACAAAAGTTCAGCTTTGAAGCCCACACTCTGTTTCTCTGCCCCTTTTCTCTGCGTCCCTAACCCACTTCAAAAAATCGATAAACCCGTACCTGAGAGATTTTGGCGGTATCGTAATCAAGAAGGCAACGAATTTCATCCAATGCATCCTGTATGTGTTTAGTCTCCTTTTTCAACAAGAATTCCCTCATACCGTCTAATAACGTTTCCAACATGTGCATCGTAACCTGAAAACTGAAGCTCTTGACTTCTCCTACTTCTTAAAAACAGAAGTACCGGAGACCGAGAAAAAAAATAAATATTGGGAAAATTTTTAAAAAATTCGATAGTTCAATGGAACCACGGCTGACTAGATGTAACTAGAATTGGCTTAAAAAAAGGAAAAAATGAAAAATATGAGTTTCAGCTACGTACCACAACTTCCGCACTGTCCATTGACGCAATTATGCCCCGCATCCAAGTGTCGATAATCTGAAATGCATTAGCATTCAAATACTGTAATCTGCCTAACACTCGAATGAAATCTCCAGAGGTCAGATGTTTTTTATACAGATTTTTTATTTTGTCTATTCAATTTTTATTTGTCAACGAACACCACACAAAAGTAACTTTTAACCTTTACAGAGGAGTTTTATCAACAAAAATTTGCTAGATATAACTTTATGCCTTTCATTTCTCCCTCCCTTTCTGTCATATTCGAGAAGAATTTAACTTGGATCGAACCCATCCTTCCCTCCTTCTCCCTCTAACTGATTATCTCTTTTTATAAGTAAAAAAAAACCAAAATGTTCTTTCGAACCTGTTCAGAATAATCCGACATGAACTGGGCTAGCGTATGCCGTCGTTCCGAGTCTTTCTTCAACATAAAGAACCTGAAAAAGGTTGCTTAATAGTTTCTTCTGAAAAGCGAACTGATGCAAGGTCAATCAATCAATAATCGATCTTCACGAGGCTTCTGAAAGGTCCTAATACCGTATAGCACTGATACTACGGGAAGCCGACTCGCATACAAGGTTGGAACTATCAGACTCGCAGAAAAAAATTGATGAAAACGCAATAGGGCCTAGACCACTAGGGCAAATGCCAAGAAGAGCGGATTCAAAGCCGTAAGTAATAGTGCTTGACAAAACTGCACAATTCTGGTCACTGGCCAGACGGTTAGCTCATGAAAATACGGCTAGACACTAATAATCAGGGCAGAGTGGGTGTTCCCACAGTTGTCAACAGTCATGGTCAGGGCTACTTCGTCGGATTATCAGGATATTCAGAATATTTTTATAAAATATCAGATGATGGAATATTTTGTTTCGCTAGTTATCGAAATATTTCCTTAATATTCAACATATTGCAGCAATATTATGAAATATGCATCAGCTTTACTTCACAGTAGAGATAAATAAATAAACAAAAAATATGATAAAATTAAATATGGTAAAGTGTATAATATAAAAGTAAAGCAAAGAAGAAACAAAATAAAAGATAAGAAGTAATAAATATTAGCAAACAATAACGAGTGCATAAATAAATAAATAAACAAAAACGAATGCGGATTTGAAAAAAAGATTTTCTGAGGCAAGGCATGAGCACCACTAAAGGAGAAGATATTATCGTCCGAAAATATGAAGTGTGCGTCAAAGAAGGGTGAAGAATGGATATCTATAAATATCCAGGAAATACAATAATAAATATCGACAAACACAGTTATACATAGAAGGGCAGCAATTAAATGTGATGCGGGGGTTCTCAAATCTTCGATTTCTTTGTAATTCCTCCAGGAGGCTCCAGAATCATAGTTGATTTCAAAGGCTCACTTTCGCAGGGAATCAATCAGAGGAAAGAGCATAGAGACCGAGGAAATGAAATTTATTAGAATAGGCAGCTAAATAACGATGGGCAAGAGAAGAGGGTTGGGTGGTCTAAAAACTTCTGTGGCAATCCTAACCCTATTAGTAGGGCGCTAATGTTTCAGTATGGCTGTCCCAGCTGCTCCCAGAAATACAGTGAAATTCGCTCGAAAGGCAAGATTTGACTAGACTTAGGACGAGGACAAAGGCTTACGTGAAATTTAAAGTAACAAGAACAACTGTTACTACTCAATGAACAATATTATAACAGATTAGAATCGAATATATTGAAAAATAATCATAAAATTAATAACGGTGATTTGATCGGACTACATATACAGGGTGGGATTCTCAGATATTAGCCATAAGTCTTTCCAAATTAATTTCTTGTTCCGAAAAGTCTAAGTTGATTAGGTTGGGCACTGAGCAGGAGGCTTCAATTTGCGAACGAATGTCGGAGGGGGAACGAACGAGGCCGCAAATGAGTTAATTATAGAAGCCGTTCTTCTTCGTTAAAGTAAATTAAAGGAGGAAATCGATAGCGCTGCCATTTGTGGGTGGGCAAAAGCAAAGGCACATTTTCGTGGCATCTAGCAAGAATAAACTACAATTGTTCAACGGATGCGATAAGTTATTCTTGAATGGCATGAAAACTCCTGGGAAGCCATTAGAAAAGATTTTAAAACTCCCTCAAAAATGGCAGTCGTGGAAGCCACGCCCACAAGATTCACCGGCTCCGACTCACCTGTTGGAACTATTTGCACTCTCGTCGGATATTGTCCTATTCAACAATGTCGTGACACCGGAACGGGGTGTACCGGTACATGGTGATGGCACTAGCTGAGGATGTGTGTTGTCATCCATGATAGGGCTAAAAATCAATATATCGATTTACGACTTCCTGAAAATTATATTAGCTTCTACCTGGAGGGTTGGCTCAACGGGAAGCCTGGATGAGAGACAGATGTACCTGCGCTTATAGAACCATCCGGTACTGGACTGCATGAGATCGTTCTTGTTCGACTAGAAGGTCTGAGAATGAGAATTTCTGGCATTTTATGGTAGCAGTTGCTACAGTAATCTTGAGGGCCTCTAACTATTGTAGTTTCACGTCAATTGTAGAGCTTTTCTACGATAAAAACACTTCTTTTCTTTCGTCATGCTGACATTCTAGTGTGAAGAAGCTACAGTACTAAATCTCACCGTACCTGTTGTCAATCATCAGATGTAGTCGTTTCTCTTCGGCCACGGCTGACTGTGGAGTAGTTGGCATTTCGACAGAACCACGATCGCTGACGCCGATGCCTCCAATGTGTGACGTGGAACGCAGCATTTCTCAATAGCCATCAGGGATAAGGCGTTAGAAAGCGGTTGACGAGGACGTCACATCACACAAACCACAGGGACCGATCAAACACGTTGCTATATCTTGTCCAGGGCGTGGGAGAAATTGGGTTGGGTAGGACTCATTTATTCCCAATTCCCGACGAAGGCCTTTCAGAAATGCAAAACCAGAATTTAAAAATTCTCATGAGCGAGCTATCCAAGAGAGCTGCCGGGTCTACTTATTCATTTTGATGGCTGGCGAGCACGCCGGCGCCACGCCCATTACTACTCTCGCGAGTCATCTGCTCGAGTCCAATTCGGCAGGTCCCGGGAAGCTGTTGAGCTACAGGACCATGTACGAAATTAATCAAAAGCCCTGTTTTTGTCAGTTTATTCTGAAATGAACAGCTTTCGCTAACACAATCTGAGAGGTTTCCTTTGACGGAGAAATTCATCGAACAAATAGAGATTGGGAATTATTGCTGAGCTCTTTCCTGCGCTCCTGGGTGAGCTGCCAAGCTGCACCACTCATAGAAGATGAACAAAGGGTCTAGTTTGAACAGGCTGGCCCAATGGATTACTATATAAGGTTCCATCCTTTGACCTAATTTTTCCAACGAAAACCCCATTTATGGTTTAACCTGAGTAAACAAGCACTTCGACCCACATGAAAACATTAATAGACACAACACAAACACAGCAGTATCAAAAGCAGCGAAGCCGAAAGCAGCTGTTCTGAGGTGAAATCGATTGACAGATACTACATACCTACTGTGATTGTGTGGGCTTAATCAGGGAGCTGAGCGGAAATTGCCGGTAACAAGAGGAGAAAATCTTTGATTTGATAGTTCTTGGATAGATAATTCACGTCCACAGTTCTAACGGACTCATTTTCTGATCCAACCCCCCTCCCTTTCAGGAAATCCTTATATTTCAAACCATTTTCCACCAGTTTGGGCATACATGTACAGCGCATATTAAAAAGTACCAGTACGGCAAAGTCTGCGAGTATAAGGGCTCCACTCCACTCACAAAAAGCGGAATTTCTAGCTAGTTGTCTCATCACGTGGTGTAAAGTTCAGAAGATCCAATACGTGATTGACCGGCTCGAACAGCCTCGCTGATTGAGTCCACAAAACTACGCAGAAACACTAACTTCATGCTATTAGATTCTACAACTACAACAACCCGACAAAGGATCCTTCACAGCGTGGCCATTTTACCCGCGGGATCTTTCATCGGATCATATCAGCCATTGAACTGACACATAAAATGCAGGGTGATTTTTTAAATTAAAATATTCAGTACCTCGATGTTTACTGACGTGATCGATTTGCTTTTTGTTCATCGACCCGCTTCGAGTCCGCGAAATGTTGGATCTAAACAATTAGCATTGATTTCGATTTCAGTAGTCTCGGAATTTATTCGTTTTCTTGACCACTTGATATTTTTTGTTTATTTATTTACTCAATTGTTTGGAAAAGGGGCAAAAATAGATTGTGCATATGCCTAGACCGTATCGAGCTAGAATCAAATCAACACTTATATTGTGTGTATGGCCATGTGAGAAAAATGTGTGTCACGAAAACATACTTGAAAAGCGTAAGTTAGGAAACCGAAAAAAAAGAAAAATTAATGGCGTGGAAAATACGGAGTTTATAGTCTGCTACAAATACATTGCCATACCGTAATATTACTGTAACGACCGACAACCAATCATAGCCGGGCGAAGGGGCGGGGTCTCCTCCTTAGGCCATGATTGGTTGTAGGAAGAGACTCCTTCCCCTCGTACGGCTATGATTGGTTGTCGGTTGATACAGTAACATTACGGTATATCTATACAGTATGTCGATGTTGTTAATAGCCTAAATCCCTTAAATGATAATCAACGTTGAGCGATTCAGTCAGCGCGTACATACTTGCCTGTCGACAATGGCAGATAAGTATGTACGCGCTAATTCGAGCGACAGCAACTGCGCTCACATGAAAGGGAGATTGAAGATGAGGAAATGGATAGTATAAGGGATGCCCCTTCGTATAAACATGGGCTCGTATGCACTTGGGCGACCTTGCTAATCGCCGACTATAGCCGTAACTTATGACCAGCGCCTGTTTACTATTTGTATGTGGTAAGCTCAACAAAGCAAGAATTGTTTGGCGCTCGGAGAAAAATGAAGCAAACAATGAAACATTGAATGGAGATGACGGGGTTATCTCGGGGTTCACATTCTCCCTATTGATGGTGGCAAATTAAATGTCGCACGCGAACCGAAAGCAAAAAAAACTTTTCCCCAAGGAATTCATCAGACCATGTTGCTATTCCCAGCCGAAGAGACGCTACCATGCAACTCTTGAGATGCCTCCATACAAGATTTTTACAGTACTCACCTTGGGAGACTAAACTGAAGAGTTTTTCAAAATTAGCTGAAGGTCGGGCGTAGGAAGGATAGCAAGGAGCAATCTAGGGTCGTCAAACAAACACAAGGATGGCCACCACCGCGAAAGTCGGTCTTCTTCGCAAAAGCACTGAACGGAAGGGATGCTATGCCTTGTATCTCTCAAGCGAGTACGATCCACTGAACTACACTGGCTCGCGATAGGGACGAATGGAGACGTTGCGGGCGCCCAATCGAAGAAATCAATGATCAATGGAATGACAGGTGATACAGCTGGGGTGATCTTATATTCACAAAACGGCTTAAGAGGTCAAGCTTCATGAGTCAGGTGTTTCCTAGCATATCAGACAAGCGTGACACTAACAAACCACTACTACCACTAGCTGCAAGGATTACTCGGCCTGGGTGAGACCTGCTGAGAACTCGGTGCCTATGGCAAGCGATGCCACTGGCCTACTCTGTAGCATAGGGCACGGCAAATGAACAATAAGTGTTGGTTGTTTTGGTAACGAAGGCAAAGAAACTAATAAAAATTTATTGAGCAGGTACATTTCATAGTCAAGGTGCATACGCTTCCACGTGTTGTCTTTTCCCGACAATATCGCTATATAATTACCCTTTCAGGTTCCCCTGTACATGGAAATATCATGAAGATTCCAGATTTCATTTTAAATCATCGTAAATATTAACGATAATAGATAAGTCGCCAGATTTTCCCAAGAATTATCGCCTAGATTTCATCTAACTAAAAAAAAGTTCAAAATTATGTTAATAAAAACTCACGAATGACAATATTGCTGAATGAACGGGTCGTTAAGCAGTTTCAATGCACTGGGCCGTTGAAGAGCATCCGGTTCAAAACAGCTGAAAATGGCAGAAGTCACAAATGGTGCTAAGACCCTTAGACGTCGACGTTTTATAGCAATTCTGTGCGTTTCTGGCTTGTACTATCAATCCTACTAGAATCGAAATTCTATTCGCCTTTGTGGGTATTGCTCACAAAACCAGATCAAAGCAGAAAATAAATCTGAGCTTTCCAAGAAAAGGTTAGAATGGCAAGAAATTCATCTAGTATGCCCAGTTATCCATTACAACTAAACTTTATCAAGTATTTTTACCATGTATCATAACTATGAATTGCTAACCAACATCATTAAGGGCATGAAACACAGATGCAAATAATATACTCAATATTTCATGTAGAGAATGGTGAAAGTGGTTACTCTGTATTTGTGACGTTTGGTCAGACACCCAGACACGAGAATTCAAAACTCTGTATTTCTAACCTCTTGATAAAATGCCGGCACTTTTCCGAAATGTCCGTGGGCAATGGCGGATGTGTTTTGAACATTCCAACTCGGAACATTGCCGCCTGTGGGTTCTGCATCTAAAGAATTTTCGTTCATTTGTACTCGTTTATTATTTATTTGTTTACTACCAATTCACCTACTATTATCACACGATAACATCAACTATCACTAGGAATCATCACCAAGTATTATCTAGTATTAATAAGTATTATGGACAAGGCACCAGCTATAAACATCAGAATCAGCATATTAATAATACCACAACAAAGGGAAAATCGGAGAATATGCATTGTTTTCATTGACATTATAATGAATATAGTACGATGCTCTTCAAAATTCAAATCTTAGCTTTCAATATTACGTAATACTGTAACTCCAAGAGGATAAGCGAAGTATAAAAATAACATAAAAAGTTCAAAAAATTGTATAAGAAACCACAGCAATGCCCCGCCCATAGCGGACGAGCTGCAACGAACCTCAACAAAAGGCGGTCGTCCAGTAGCCATTTCGACCATCGTGCAGCCAAAACTCCAGATATCTGCAGGTGCACCGTAACCACGTTGGCCGTGATCGATCACTTCAGGAGCCATATATTGCAGCGTTCCTGAATGAATTTTCGGTAGCTCCGCCTTTCGAAAAAAAGGACAGTTGTCTCGATGGCTGAGTTACCTGTGAAGGTTTCTGTGACGGGATTCAGCCCTGCTAATCGCTTACAGGTACCAAAATCGCTGATCTTACACACTCCACTATACGTGTTTACCAGTACATTATCACCTTTGATATCACGATGAACGATTTTTTGTTCGTGCAAATATCTGAAGAAGGAACAGTTGCCCGATCTCCAGAAATTGATTAGGCTACGGTGAGAAATTTTGAAAAAAATTGCAAAAAAAATCAAGGATTCAAAAAATAATATTCAAATAGAGAACAGAAACTGACCGTAATCCATCAAGGATCTGTTTTCCATACAATACCATTGCAGGTTCATTTAATGGACCCCATTTTGATCGCAACAGGCTGCTCAAACTTCCTCCCGGTACATGTTCCATGAAGATGAGAAACACATCGTTACCGGTATCCCTGGAAAGTAGTATTATCAAGTCTGTTGCGACATTTTGTAAGATTGAAGGGGGATAAAGTATAGCCGCTCAAGGGCGTTCAAAGAATATCAACGAGACCTCTTTCGAACAAGTAGCAATTTTCGCGTAGTTAAAGGCACTGTTCGTGATAATTCAATGGGCGGGCACGTCAATGACGTGTCCGCCTCTCATTCGACACCACGTCAGACTGTCTGACGTGACATCGAATGAGAGGCGAACACGTCATCGACACACCCGCCCATTGAATTATCGCAAACAGTGCCTTTAATATGACATAATACAGGCTCTCTCCAGTAATTTTCCTAGTATAAACCCAACTGACGTCAGAAAATAGCAGCTGGCTTTTGGACGTGCGACTCTTGAACTCAAAAACTGAATACTACGAAAAGTTAGCGTCCCATAGAATGGCAATAAAAAACAGTTTTGGGACTGGAAATAATTACCTGTGAACCACATCACAACCTAGGTACTGCACGATGTTTTGGTGACTGAGGGTTGAATGCAGATTGATTTCTTCCATCAATGGTTGTACCTACAAGAAAGGTATTATATGGTGGAAAGTCAATGCGTCTTTCCTATTTCCTTGCTTTTTCCTATCAGTGCAAATCCCTTTTCCTTATTCCCGGAAGGCAGGATCGGAATACGAGAGGGATCCATTGGCATCCTGCTTCTGCCTTATATGGCAACTTTAGTGTATTTGATAAATGAAATGGAAAAGTTAATGTCGATTTACGAAAAATCGATCAATATATCGATTACCTCTTCATCATATTTGACTTCAATCTCTTTCACAACAATTTGACGTTGTGTCGTCACATCACGAGCAGAGTACACCACACCGTAGGTGCCTTTTCCAAGCACGACTCGATCACCATTAGAGGTCAATTCGTATTCGAACTGTAAAGTTCTACTGCGATCAGATAACTCCGCCCATTTCTATGTCGTGCGGAACTTACATGCATCTTTTCGCCATCAAGATTTGACAGAACTTTGCCTTGATTACCGTCTGCTTCCGTCATTTCCATTAGGGAATTGATGACCCTGAAGACAATCGAATTTGTTTGATGAACCTTATGAGGTACAATTGCGCCTCATCTGACTGGTAATTCTTCTATTCAACAAAAAAAAANAAAAAAAAACGGACAAATATAACAAACTTGTTACAGTGAGCCGCTGATGGAAAGACGAGATTGAAATCGTCCGAGTTTTCGTGCACATAGAGGAACATCGAACGATCGTCACGTTTCGATGCGGAAACTGCTTTGATGTTACCAGCAGTAAAGTGCCAACGATGAATACCTGAACAGAAAAGGTCCATGAGACTACTATCCCGAATGCTCCTAAAATTCTGAACCAGTCGATAATCGATTAGCTCAGAATCTAATTCTATTCCTCCCGGAACATCTTCTAACTTACCTGGTGGAGGCTTTTTCTGTTGACTATTTTCAAGAACATGACTGAGTATCATCGACCGCTCGTTTACGTTCAATGTAAGATAGGATGGTGTGAATTGCTAAAGTAATGTTAGCTTTCTTGCACAGTAACCTTAGAAGTACCTTACAGTACCCGTCATGAGTATGAGAATTCTAGAAAAGTGGCTTTTATAATATTTACCTTGGTTAGTTCCTGTATCAAGACCGGAAAACGAGCACAGGTCACATCCGATTCTGAATCGATCGCTTCCATGAAGAACTCGGACCAGAACAGGAATTGCTGCTTCTCCTGAAAAGAAATGATCAGATTCAGGAACAAATTTGGATTCATGAAATGATATCAATGATATCTTTCCTATAAAGTTCAACAATAGCCTAATAAATAAACAAATAAATAAATAAATGATACAATGATAAAAATTTCAATGATAGTATCATATTATGTGGATTTCAAATTCAAAATTATAAAAATCCTATAATACTCATAATTGAGGAATTAACAAATAAACAACAACATAAACAGTGAACAGTGACAAACAAACAAGTCTGATTTCAGTCAATCAGTATATCGTATTTAGACTATAATTTGGATGAATAATATTCATGAATTATCTCCATAATAAAAATTGGCCTATAAGTTGGCCTATTCTGTTGCCGATAGCGCACCTTGAACGCACAACAAGTAAATGAATAGGTAAATAAGTTAGTAAATAAATAAATAAATGATTGGAGCTTTTTGAGACTAGTGAAATGATTATGAGTCTCTACTAAATCTTCACCTAAATCTCCATTTAACAGCTTTCCTCGATATTGACTTCATGTTTTGTTTTAATTCAACTCTCTGTTTGTTTATTTGTTTTAATTTTAGTTTCTTGATGATACTATTTGCTAACCTTTTCAATCGGACTGATTGTTGCAGCACATCGATTTATGAGNTTGATATTTTCCATGGTCGACTTGAGGAACCTGAAACAAACTTTTCAGAAGCCTCGGGAAGGAAAGAATAAACAACAACGACAATAACCATAACAACAACAACAACAACAACAAGAATGAGATCGATATGCACAGATAACTGGTGACCAACAGCCCTTCCCAAGCCGACACTGCCCACTAGGTACGAAACCATTCCCTTTTAGAGTGATATTCACCAATTATAGAGCTTCAGTGAAACTGAGTTGATAGAATAACTGTCATCTTTATAAGGGATTCTTGTCGATTATCATAAGGGCTTTGATAGCTTCGTACAATAATGTATACGTAGATACTACAAATCACAAAGTTATTACAAGTAAGTGACGCAGGCTCTTCATCCGCAATTGTCTTCAAATGACGTATGTAGCACAAAGAGCCTACGGAAGTTAATTGTCAGGTCCCTGGCCCTTCCCTCCTGTTGAGATCTGCCCACAAGACCCAAACTGTCTAACTTGCCCAAAGAAAACGATGAGAAAAAGACCCGTATACTTACCATACTGGCGGTTTCAGCATTGCCATTTTGAGAGCTGCCTCGCAAGCTTTCTGGTAATTTTCAGCCAGTACCGATACCTATAATGGCATGAGTATTACACTGCCACTAACCGAATGAGAGATCTCCGTAGACCCTTTTTGCTGGGTTTTTACGAAATCAACGGTGAATAGGGTCTTGAATTACGATGAAAATCTGTAATGAAGCACATAGCCTTACGGTACGATTATGAAAAAAGAGTGATTTCCCGTAATTAGCTTTGTCGAGTCCAAAAGCCTACAAAAACGTTTAGGACAAATGCTGAGTAATCGGGAGAGATGCCTTTACCGCAGGCATAGTTACGTGAGCCCGCAGCGGATTGTATTCAACCAACCCGAACCGTCAGTTCCGTTCAGAGATATAAACCGAAATGCTCATTCCGCTGCAGCAATTCTTACGGATGGAAAAGAGAACATGGTTCAACTTCGCCGATGTCAAATTTTTCTTCCACATCACCACCGAAGGCAAATCTCTACATATTCAGTCGCATCACTGCATCTCAGTAGCTCATTTAGATTTCTGCTTGACCCAATCTAACATGGGTAGGAAGTTAGACACGAATCAGCTGCATGCTCCGTCTACGCCTATCTTCCCCTAAATTGATTCAACTGACATTATCTGTTTAAGGCTAGAAAACACCCCAACAATGGGAAATTCAGAGCTATTACGATTATGTGCCACTTCCAATTACCATCCAGAGCACATGACTCATTTTTAACAGAATTACAGCACTCTAAATCACCTCGAAGTATGTGGCTACGTCCCAGTAGTCAGTAAGCTGATGTAAAGCGCCTTTTCGTCCGAGTAGAGAGTTCAGAACAACGGCTGGAAAAAGTGAAGAAAGTGTTGTTTGTAACGATCGATCGTTGATTGATTGACCTTTTTAAAGCTGTTGATTGTTGAATGAAGCAGTATTTTCTTCCAACAAATTCATCTAGATGGATTCAACGAGCATTTTTGTGAACCGTCCCTTTTCAACTCGCAGACTGTTTTTTGGAATATTTTCTCAGTTTCTAGCGAAAGCGTTTTAAAGATTTTTTCTCTCGGGGGTTTTTGACCGTTTTTCTAAGAAAAGTTGGACAAATTACTAAATATCGCTTGAAGGGCAGCTTTTTCGCATGCCTTATATAAACGTATATATATATATATATTATATTATATAATAATAATATAATAATATAATATATATATATTATTATATTATATAAACGATATTCGGTTCCTTCAATGAAAACGACCTTTTTCTCTGGAGGATCTATAAAAACGGAGCAACACCATTACATAATTTTAATGTTCAGTTGTCCTCCCTGTTCAGTTGTTGTCCTTCTCCTCATATTTACTACTACTCACCTACTTAAATTGATCGTTTCTTATTTGCATTTTTNTCACTCTTTCTTGCACAACAGACTGTCTTTACCAAACCCTTTTTTGTCATCTTTTAGTCACTAACGAGCCTCGGGGATGACATACTTTGGTTCGTACGACTAATGGTAAGAGGCGAACTGAACCAAATTATTTAAGTATTTCCTATTACAGCCTGACGTAGTTATAATTCTCAATTAGTTTATCGAAATGTAGTTCTTCATGTTTTATTAGATATTTGCTCTATTTGCTTTGATATATAGGAAGTATGTTTTTAATCCATAAGGCTTACTCTCAAAGAAGAACCAACAAATCTTCAAAAAAAGTCTCTGTAGTCAGTAAGTTTCTAATCCATAAGGACTACTTTAGAAAAAAATTCAATAAATCATTAGAAAAGGATAATTATATTAGGATTAAGACCCTTTTCCCAAAATTGGTTTTAGGAGCTGTGCTCGAAGTGCAAAACTTGATTGCTAGCCCTTGAACTTGATTGATTGAAAGCTAATTAAATACAACCAGCGCGCTGACAATAACTGCAAAGTAATCCATAGAGTTAAGAATTACCGTACCTATTTGCTGCATTTCGGCATTACTTTCAAAATGTTCACCACTTGCTCGTAATAATGTTGTGAGGTTGATGCCACTATGTTCCAGCGGAGACATTTCAAATGCCTTACGGTACCTGAAAATCAATAAATCAATATATCGATTCAGGATCTAATCGATTTGCTGCTACAACAGCATTTAGTACTTTAGAATATGCCCACCATCATTTTGTTGAATGATTACTGGGACGACATTCTGATAGAAAATAACAGCTATTTCAAGAAATCAAAATAAGAGGACGAACATCGATGACTACTGACTGACTACTGTGACTACTTCTATTTTACTAAAAAGAAGTAATAGCTGCACCAGGATTAAGGCATTCTTTCTTTGGTATTTCATTCTGTTGCAGTAGCAAATCGATCAGAAAAAAGTGTCATCAGAATGCTATTTTACAACCTTTATCACCTTTCTTTTCCGGTTTCCAGAAAAATATGACTCACCACGAAACTGCATTGTTCAGTGATTCACGATCCTCATAATTACTGGCAATAAACTTGTCCTTGTAAATGCGTCCTGAAAAACAACAATGTCAACTGTATGATTAATCGGAATCTGTAAAACAGGCCGAAATGGGGTGGCGGTAAGCAGCGTACTATCACTCACGCATGGTTTAACGATCAGATCTTGGATCCAAATCAATCTGCCAAGGTTAAACTGGCTTTACACCCCCCTAAGGTCGTTTAATCGGTGCCAGACACGTCTGGGAGGATAACGCCCCGACTTGTTTATCGACTGGTCATCCTAAGTCATTGTATAGGCTATATACGAATTCAAAATGCCTGATTCCGTATGGAAGTCGGAAGCGGGATCCCATCCCAAGCCGAGACTGATCAACGCCAAGGACCGTCATCCATCAACAAAACAAGTGATAACTAAAGAAGGCAATTGTAGTTTGCTCACAGCGGAACATGGCGGACCTCTCATTTTACAATTAAATTTTTTAGATGCATTACACAGTAAGAAAGGGTGTGGCAAGCGCTGAAAGTGGTAAGATGGCAGTTGACTCCTTGATAGAGTCAAATAAAAAGGAAAAAATAAATATGTGAAGCAGACGAACGGCTCGACCTGCTAAACAGATTACGTCAGGGCTTAGGGCTTCCTTGTCAGCCGTTGATTCGATGATATTCAAGACGGTAGCCAACGAACGTTCACGGTCACCTTCTTTATTTCGCCTGAAAAACCCAACTTTATTTCTGGTTCTAGTCATTGTAAGTAGCCTTTCGAAGACGTTACGAGACTTTAAAATTATGATCTTCAAGCTATTGAATTCTAAGAAAATAGGCCTGCTACCTGACGATTTGCGAACCCAATCGATAATCGATTAACGCGGCAAAAAAATGTGGAACAATCATGATAATGTAGTGGATAATCGAAAAAAAAANAAAAAAAAACATTTCTTAACAAGTTCGAATAAATAGAAAGAAATCCAATCGATAATCGATTTGAACTCACCTTGCTAAGGCAAATGCATATTGATACCGTATCACCTGCGTATCTATTAATGTACAGTCTTCAATACGGCTGAGATCTTCGACAAGGCTAATCATACCGTTGTAGTTCTGATTATCTCTGGAATACATGACGTAACAAATAATGGAATGTCAGCGAGACAGCCATGCCTTCAACAATGAAGTAGTCGCGGACGAGTTTCACCTGTATGAGATCATCAGCTGATGTACGGTATCAACGGACAACACGTCCGGATTATCAAGACGGCAACGCATCTTATCCAAGAAATCGTTCGTCTCGTTCACATCGGTAATTTCACGTGCTTTGCGTAGATCGGATAAGAATTTTTCACGAGAATGAGCACTGAAATGACATGAAGTTCGCAAGGGTTACGGTAAATTACAGTGTAATATGTGAAGCTGCAAAAAAAAAACAAAAGGGCGACATAAATATTCCTGCTTCCTACAAGCGGTAGTGGGCTGTTTTTGTTCAATCACAGTTATGAGACCATTAACGGTCTTCGGAAGTTCACCGTGTTAAATATATACCGACTTTCTACTTCTCAGTACCCTGAATTATACAAAAATAAAGTAATAAGAAGAAGTGTCATGCTAAACCGTCAAGTACCTCGCCTCTTGTGCCTGATGTGAAATGATGAACTTGTCCTCCCAAGAAACCTTTCCGGGATTTAATTGAAATAATCGGTTTCCACGGAGACTAGTGCAAAGAATATGCTCTCAGGCAATAATTAGAACGGTTTTGTAAAGTTATAAGTGGAAAGCAGTAATCAAGCATAATTATTCCTTTTATAGGCACGGCCGTAGTCATTCTCTAGAAGACCTCATCGGAAATATGTTCCTCAACAAAAAGGGAAGAAGCAGGAAATTGCACAAGTTAGGAAGTTTCCCTATTGGGTACACTGCCGCTGATAGTTAGTTATCAGTCTCATGCCTACAAGCATAACGTGCTTAATGGGTGTTCATCACAAAACTTTTTTGGGGGCCCGCCAACGGAGAACAATTCGTGTGAACACCTATTTGGGAAAGTCTTGCTATATATAGAAAGCTGATAGAAGAAGAGAAATTGTGTGAATTTGAGAAGCTTAACAGTCACAGCATTACCTTCCCACGCTATGCAAAGTGCCTCCCAAATTGGGGAAAATAATTTCCTTCAACAGGGTCGGACAGCATTTGTTTCTATGCTATTCTTGCTCTTAGAAGTTTTAGTGAATGATGTTTCTTATTTAAAAGAAACTTTTTAAAGACACCTCTAAACCAATCAGTAATGTTTAGGACGCAATTTAGGAAAGAGCCAATCAAGCAATCAAGTGATTAGCAGTCATAGCGCACCCGGTGGGGAGTTCTTCGAGACAGTGAGGTCTCCCCCTTACAAATCTCTTCTTACTTTCTTTTTCTTCTCCGAGAAAGTAGGAATAGATAGTGTGCATAATTGGTATCACATACGGATTAGAATTGAATAAAGTTTTAATATATTTTCAGAAAAAACTCTATAAGTTTAGTAATTTCAGCTGTTGGAGGAGAAATGAAGTCGTCCAGGAAAGGTACTTCATTTTCACACCATAACCTACGAAATAGGCACCGCTTAAAAGTAGAAAAACAAAAAAAAATGGATAAGATAGAAAAATTCAAGTCAGAGGCTTTGGAAGACGTGGCATAGGCAAACAAAGCAATGGGACGAGCGGAAAGGAAGCGGAAGACAGTGAAAGGAAGAAAAAGATAAAAGTAATAAATGCGATAGGAAGAATAGCAACGGAACTTATCTCTCTTCATGAAACTGCCCATACTTTGGAAAAAACAAGTGTGGAATTTATAGAAGAAATTTCTGAGTCAACTACTTCATAGACTGAAGCGGATGGGGACGGGAACGGGATGGAAATAAACTGTTATAGAAAATAAGGAAATCGATCGCAGGCCACTAGAAACCGGGATATCTGCTTCGGGAATGAGTACAATCGAACGCAGCAAAATCAAAAGTAAAGTCCAAAAAGAGAGCCAAAAAAATCGACTGCCATCGACTTGAATTGCCATTGTTGTGCAAGAACGGCGCTCTGGAGAAGAACGACTGACGTCAGTCCTTTATGGACTTTACCGGTTCAGATACGCTGGCGACTGCCATCACACCTTGACTGCTTGCTACTCTGAGATCGAAGTCTTCGAGAAGTGGTGACCGCTTTTATGTAAACCCATAGCCACAAAACTTTTTACGATTGCTAAAAAAATGTTTTTGCAAATACAATCCCTTTGACTGTTCAGCCAACTCCTGCAAAACATTTCAAGAACATTTCAAGCGCAACAAAAAAAGCCATTTGTCTCGTACTACACAAAACAGTGCTGGTTAATTCAGCGGAATAAGCAATAAACCCATGAAGAAAGCCCCCTATTTTCATATAAATCTCGATCTTTGTATGAGCTATTACAGTACTCACCTGGCCTCGATTTGAACACTTTTCAATGATGCCTTCAGTCTTGACTTGAAGGTGACCTTGTTCGGACTCTTGAATTTTGACTCATCGTCCACATCACGTTTCGATGGCTACAAAGATATAACTATCAACTTTTTTCCAAGAAGAATTTTCTCTCCACCATAAAAATGCAAAAATTGGATGATAATGTAAAAATCTTCATAAAAGAATTAAAAATGTGGCGCTACAAAATGACAACATAATGCTTCATGTTCGAATCACATTTACGGCCTGTAGATCAAACGAAAGAACAATCGAACGCTGTAATTTCGCTAAAGTATCCTATTATATAATATTTACTCTCCGGAGGTCAAATAGGAACAGTAAGCATCTTATTTTGTACTTCAACAAAAATCTTAAAAATCCTTGAAATTTAAAACAAGATGACAGCATGGCATATGGTGTTGCAGGAAGTGATGTATGACAGTGAGGCCTACCATATTTTATGGAAGGAGTGAGCCATGTAATCGATACTAGCTGGGGTATTAAGTTAATGAGGGATCTGGGAAGATAAACACCATGATTTTCGCCCTTATACATCCATGCACTGCACTATAAACAATCATCTCTCTTAACATAAAGCAGTAACTTGGTGTGTCGGTTTGTCGGTACTAACTTTGTAATTACGATAAAGGTAATGATATGGAAATCCCAGCTCTATTCTACATTTCCTTCCTATATATGAAGCAGTAATTCGGTGGGTAGGTCAGGGGGGTAGAGTGAGTTTTGGGGAGTGAAGTGAGTAATGTGAAGCTAAGTGGGTGCTTCAGGACTGTGATTTCGATCTGTACAGGCATCGTGCTAAGTATGTCTATACAAAAATCGGAGGTAATAATGTAGTTGGAGGACTCCCGCTTTTTTTCTTCAACAGTGAGCAGGATGAAAGGAGCACCGGGGTGGGTGAGCCAGCCGGACATTAAACTTACACCCTATCCTAAGGTCGGCTACCCATGCTTCTTCACACCAAAGAGCTCATTGAAAGCGAAGCCGCCCCCTCCCCTAACCTCCGTGACGTTATTTCCTGCCTACTCTTCAAAGGAAGGAATGAGGCCCGGCGTAAGCCGGCGACCCGTTTGGTGAGAAATAAAGATTAGCAGTGTGTTGAAATGTGATGTGTTATGAGCTAAGTCAAGTAATTGCGAAGTCCAGCATCCGATAGCGAATTCAATTCTGATCGCACTAATCCCTTGATTAGGCTTGTACATCAGGTCCACGCCCCCAAGAGAGGCCGCTGTCAGAACTGTAGTTATCGGGAAGCATGAAAGGATCGGAAGTGAAATTAATTAAAAAGACTTGGAATAAGATTTTTAAAAAATTCGAAGAAAATTTTCAGAAAAATGAAATGGAAAACCGCCGACGGATAAGATACCTGGGAACATGAAAGCATGGGTAAGGAGTTACTGGAATCCTTGGAAAAGCCCACTTCAGGGAACGTCTGCATAGGTCGTCGGCAACTGTCGCCGTCGTATATATACCGACGACAATCGCCAAGGCGGATACAAAATGATGTAAGAATTTATTCACATATCACAGTTTTCATGACAACATCGCTCGATGACGTGCTGATAGCACTCAGATAGCCGATCGGCTGGAAAAGCCGACAAACGGCGTCTAGCGGATACAGTACAACCCCTGCTTAGCCTCACCCTCGTCTGTTTCAGAACTGTATCTGAAACCTCTACATTCCCTAATTACACCTACATCCCAGAATTAGATCAGGCTATGGTCTTGCTTTGGGGGAAGTGGTGTAGTGATAAGTGGCGCACTTTCTCATACGCATGATCACGGGTCCGAATTCAGGACCGGTATCCGCCTAGGCCAACCAAGCTTCAATCCCTACGGGGGTCGGGTAACTAGTTCCAGCCCCCTCTGGGAAGATAGAAGCATTGATTTGTACATCGGCTGACCACCGCAAGTCATTGTATAGACCACATACGCATTCGAAACACTGCTACGATTCTTAGTGGTAGTCGAATTCGTGGGCGCATCCTTCAGACGAGATTGATTAATGCTCCAAGACTTTATCCTTTATCCTTCATGGTCTTGTTTTTATCAAAATAATGTTGCTTAACTACAGATTGCTGGTAATTAAAAATAAATAAATGTAATAGATAAACAGTAAACAAATCAAAAATATCGAAGTCTTCGAAAAAATCGATAGCGATACGGTAGGGCATATTCATCGACTGTGGGTAGGCGTACGTACTGTATGGCCTCGTCGATTCCGCTACCGACATACCACTTATTACATCTACATTCGTAAATTAATTAGGACAAATGTCATATTATGATAAAATATACAGTTAACACTTCATCGCTGTTGATTCAAAAATAAATAAAAAAAAACAATCACTAACGGAATCCGATTTTTGAATAAACAACAACAATGGGCTGTATAGTATTTGACAGTTTATGAGCAAGATGGGAAAATTATGCGGCATTCGCGAGATCGATTCGACTCGAATGGGTTACAGTTAAGACCAACAACGAGAAATTCAGCCCAGCCCTAACAACCACTCAAAATGCAATGCCTTAGCCGGAATTGGATGCTCAGAGGGTGGAATTCGAAGCCAGGTGCTTTGCCTTTGCGTACAAGTGAATAAAGAAGTCAAGATCTTCGAACGCCCGGTCTCGACCAGATTATGGAGAGTGACTGAGCGAAGGGGTAGACTTCACTGGAAATGACGCTTGAAGTCATATATTATCTAATGAGATTGGCTTTTCACAAATAGGGTTGGCTGCTATGTATGTTCAGTAGGGATGACGCCATCGAGAAGCCAAAGGACAAAACTCTGCTTCTCTGGAATCTGTCCATGTGAATGCGTTGTTGTGAAATTATGCTGAGGCTGTCTGACGTCGCGTTTTAATGGATGGTGACATCATTCGCCGAGGAACGTTTCTCGCTCTCCGTTCGTTTCTCCGACGCCAGCAGTACGATTCCAGCCAGACGCTAGAGAGAGTTGGTCAAGCTGATGGTGACGGTCGGACAACTGAGGTGAGTCCCGTTTCTTCTTGAATACCTCATACCACCTTGCTGGCATAAGAATGGACTGCTTGTTGAAAGGCTTTCACCCTGTTTTCGGAAGGAACCGAAGCCCGGCTCCTTTGAACGACCTGGCTCTTCCAGGCTCTTAATTTCCCTGGATCTCCCTCAGAGGAAGATGACATGGCGGACTGTTCTTGTTGAGTTGATTCAAATTTATTTGATACACTTGATTATTATTTATTTTAATTCTATTTTAAGTCGCTACTTGTGCCCAAAGGCGAGTGTTCAAATGAATCACGAATGAATGAGTTTTCTGTAGCTTGAAATGCCTTTTTATAATGAAATAACAACATTTCCGAGTGAACAACCATATCCAGGAGACCCTCAAAATTGAACTCTCTTAAGTGGAAAGACTAGACCCCACCTTTTTCCCCATAGGAGCTAATATCGATGGATTCCCGTCCGCAATAGCCACTGAGGGTTGTATAGAAGCCAATCACTCCCGGTCCGGTCGTTTCTATCTACAAAATTCGAAGCCAATTACTCAAAGGATTTGCGAAAAATGCTAAGCCTTTAAACCTCTTTTCTCTTTGGAGTAAAAAACGAAAGATCTTCAGTCAATTCATCGAGTCAACAGTCTTACTTTTTTCTCAAACCAATGTCTTTTCCTAGCTTAGCTTTTTTGCTTCCTTTTTTTCAGTCTCACTTCTTTAAGATTATGAAAGTTTGGTTTTTGCCTAAATTCGCAACTGTGGCCCTTGGGTCCCTGATACTGCAGGTATCGGGCCATACTACAAGTGAAACTGCTCTTCCCTGCTTCATTAACTTTGATGCTTATTCAGTAAAAACGGTACATAATCAAAAGCAACATTCATGCCGACGCCCCCCCCCCC